ACTGGTCTCTGCTCTCCAGGGCTTCAGACAGGAGCCTCTCCCAACCCTGTTGCCACATGCCAGCAGATGTCCCCAAATAACTCAAGAAAGAAAACAGGGGCAATGATACAGCAACATCCAAAACAACTAATGTCAGGGAATCCATCCAGGTCCAAAACATAATCCAGAGGCCATGTCAGGCAGCAGCCCAAAAGCAACAGCAGGAATCCCATTGCAGTGTAGGCGGCTAGGCTCCCAGGAACCAAAAGCCTGTGTTGTCTCCAACAACTGGAAAGCTCAAGAAGGACACCTAATATACTCAGCCTCCCAGGCCACACCCCAGCCATAGCTGACAACGTTGAAGGTGTTTCAGAGATTCCCTGCTCTCAAGAAGACCCATGATCTCAAGAGTCACACAGCTCTGGATCTGTAAATGCGCCCTGCATCATAGCTCCACAACCCAGTCCAAATGACCACTAAATGCAAAACGTAGAGTCTGCAGCAATCCCATTAAAGCTTAAATATATTTAAAGTAAGGACATGCAACACACACAGGAGAAGTAACTGGCGATTTCACAGGTATCCAAGCTTTGCTATGTTAGTTAGCACCTGTAGTGAGACGAGAACCACACCTCTGTCCAAGCCAACTTTTAAAAACAAATGGATCTCCACCAACCAGCGAAAACTGATTAATGTTGTGGCCTGAGGGGAGGGAGTTGCATAACTGGGGGGCCACCACCGAGAAGGCCCTTTTCCAAGCGCATGCACAACAAGCAACACTCATTGGAGGAACCATGAGTAGAGGCATAATGCCCCGCTATGAAGTTATTTGCAAGGGCTGTGTACACACCATATATTTAAAGCACATGGCTTCTCCCAAAGAATCATGGAAAACATAGTTTATTAAGAGTGCTAGCAGCTGTAGCTCTGTGAAGTACAGTTGCCAGTATTCTCTGTGGGGAGGTGTCACAGGCTTTATATGTACAGCATATACACAGCTGTTTTAATATGTTGGAAGCTACCTATTATTATTATTATTATTATTAATTATTATTTACAACACAGTGACAACCGAGGTCTAGACAAAGCCTCTGATTATTTAGTGGCTCTTACTGCATGCTTCCCCTATGGAGTTAATTCTTGTTTATGACAATATTTTTATAAAAAAAAATCCCAAAAGGATGGAACAAACTCTGAGGCCAATATCTCATAAAACGTAAGGCATAAACAAACCCCAGGAAGACAGAGCACAGCACTTGGTTTTGCTTCAGCACAGCAACGTTTCCTATAAAGTAGCGGGGATGAAAATACATTATGAAAGAACTGCTGTCACTCAGGAAGAATGCAGGCGCAAGAGGGGCCCGAGAAGTTGAGCCGAGGGTGCTGAAAGCACCCCCAGGCGATATTTAATGAGCAAACACACTCACAATCTGCCTCGTAAAAGACTTTCAATTCTGGCATCACCAAAGAGCTAGACTTGATAATTGGAAGTTTAATGTGATGTGAACTAAACTTCAGAATTGGGGAGAGAGATAGTTATTGCTCTTCTAACAACATCAACAAAATAAAGGAAATTGTCTGTGCTTTCGCTCGCTGATTTATACTGTCACATGCTAGAAGAGGGGAGCTCACAGGCCAGGTAAAAATCCTATGCATGTGTCAGACATATCAGTGTTATCGATGGCCATGGCCAATATTTGCTTTAAATTGGGGTGTGAAATCCAAATGCGGACCTCCAGGTATTTGGCCCTCAAGACTTAGGCACTCAGTTGTGCTGAAGCAAAAGCAATTGGGCATCACAACTGGGGAGAATGCTCTTGTTCTGGTGTCTTGCTTGTGGGCTTTCCATTGGGATCTGGTTGCTGGCTGAGAGAGCAGGATGCAGGACTAGGTGGGCCTGATCCAGTAGGGATCTTCTGATGTCCTTATCAAGATCATGCTCAGCTGCTCCTCATCCTAACTGAGAAGGTGGGTGCAGTAAAAAAGAAAGGTTACAGTCGTCGTTATTGTTGGGTTACACTCTGAAAGTGAGAGGAGCAGGGTCTGAGCCTTGGGGCATGTGAGGACTTGTTAGGGCTGAGCTGTCAGAGGTCAGCCAGGAATTGTGCCTCTATTCCAAACCTGCTGCACCTTGCAACCAATCTGATTTACGCATTAAAGTCTTTGGCAGAAACCGATCTGGGAGTCTGAATTCTGTCCGGCAATGGGGGTGAGAGTGCCACCACCCTCCCTGTCCTTTTGCCCCTCTCCTTCCCCGTCCTGGTAAATAACAGCAACTCAGTCCCCTAGAAGCCGTCCCAGCCGGTGACGCATCTCTTAATAATGGCAGAATGCAAACGTAGTTAAGAAAAACACATACTCCTTCCTCCAGCAATCAGTCAACAAAGCGAAAAGCAAAATGACTGATGCATTTATATATACACACACACAAGTAGACCAAAGAACTATCTCAACAATCGCTTGTTGTTAACATATTCTGAATAATGAAGCTACCTGCGAGTTTGATTCATTACCCAGAGATTTCTAAAGTGAGAAAGCAGCGTGTAGCAGCAGTACCACCACGCTGTTTACAAAACAAATATCATCAGAGAGGCTGGTGCTGCTTGGTGGTTAAAACGGGCTATACATTAAAGACTATCTACAGAAATATTGTAAAATTAATGAATGTTAGAATGATGTTAGAATGAAGTTAAGTGGTTTAAGCAGCAATGCTATAAAGACGTATGTAAAAATGGACAGTTAACAGGTGACAATCCAAAGTTATAGTATATTAAGTTAAAGGACTAAGAGAAAATAAAGAAAAGAAATTGCTGAATTAATTAATTGAATTGGAATACAAAAAAGGGAGGTATGAGGAGGTCAGGGAAGTAAGGAAATGAACGTAAGGCATAGAAGACTGATGTATTTTTAAGTGTTTTTTATTCTTTTTTTTCCTGTATTTTGTATTTTGTATTTTTCTTGTATTTTTACTTTGGTCTTTTTTTTGTTTTCTTTTTATTTTTTCTCCTTTTCTTTACTTATGTAATTCTTCTTTTTGAAATCTTAATAAATATCATTTAAAAAAACCAAAAAACGGTCTATACGTACCACTCATCAAACTATTCAGAAAATGTACCTGGCCCCTTCCGGACTTTACCACTTCGCAGTGCGGGGGTGTTAATATGCATCTCTCTCCCTTGTTAGTGGAAAGTTAGCATGTTACCCTACCTGTCTCCTTATCACTGGTGTTCTCTACATTTGTAGAACCAAATTGACGAAGAACCAAATTTGTGCCTCCCATAAGCATTTTCAAGTGGTAAAGGCCATAGTCAATCTGCCCTGAGTTGCCAGGGAATTTCAACAATGGATTCCATCTTGACTGTGAGCCCTGGAAGACCTGCTTCCTGCCTTGCAGGACTTTTTCCACCTGGCCTGGGAGGGGAGGGCCCGGACTGACTCCAGCTACAAAAACTAAGGTTGATGAACAGACTCTTGTGCTGCAATGTTGTAGGTGTTGTTATTGCTGTTATTGGTATTGCTTTTTATATATGTCTTTTTAGATCTTATTATGATTTATGCAGAAGTTATTCAGTTTGTTAGTGTACTTTCTCGTGGGTTTTCTTTATTGTTTATGACTACTTTTGCTATGTTTGTAATTATGAAAATATTTTCATGCAGCAAGTAAGTCCCAATGAGAATAGAGGGATTTGTTTGAGTCAATTTCTATGGATCTGTACTGTTATATTAGTCATTATTGGATATAGAAATGTTCTGCTATTAAAATACACACATATATCACAATTACTCATTAAACAGTGCCCTTGCTTAATTTGATCCAGGTCTGTTTTTAATTACCATTACCTCCCTTCTGGAACCTGGCAAGCAAACTGCAAGCTCTCACTACTCAGCAACCTCCCTGAAGTGCCTCCCTATATAGTGGTACCTTGGGTTACGAACTTAATTCATTCCGGAGGTCCATTCTTAACCCAAAACTATTCTTAACCTGAGGCGTACTTTCGCTAATGGGGCCTCCCGCTGCCGCCGCACGATTTCCATTCTCATCCTGGGGCAAAGTTCTCAACCCAAAGTACTGCTTCCAGGTTAGCGGAGTTTGTTACCCGAATCGTTTGTAACCTGAGGTACCACTGTATTTTGGACAGGTGACAGTGCTTCTTTGTCAAATACAGTGGTACCTCAGATTACAGACGCTTCAGGTTACAGACGCATCAGGTTACGGAATCCGCTAACCCAGAAATAGTACCTCGGGTTAAGAACTTTGCTTCAGGATGAGAACAGAAATTGTGTGGTGGCGGCAGGAGGCCCCATTAGCTAAAGTGGTACCTCAGGTTAAGAACAGTTTCAGGTTAAGAACAGACCTCCGGAACGAATTAAGTTCTTAACCCGAGGTACCACTGTATTTTGTTTCAAATGCGCATAGAGTACCTTTCGACCCACACAAAACGTACAAGCAAAATCACATCCTAGGACAATTAGAATCCAACACCGTAACTTAAATGTTCAGCAAACAATTTCAATTCATTAACATCAATTCAATAACCCATTGCAGCAAGGAAATATCAGCAAACGATCAAATAATCACTGCTGGCAATTATAATACAGTGGTATCTCGGGTTAAGTACTTAATTCTTTCCTGAGGTCCGTCCTAACCTGAAACTGTTCTTAACCTGAAGCACCACTTTACCTAATGGGGCCACCTGCTGCCGCTGCACCGCAGAAGCACGATTTCTGTTCTCATCCTGAAGCAAAGTTCTTAACCCGAGGTAATATTTCTGGGTTAGCGGAGTCTGTAACCTGAAGCGTATGTAACCTGAAGCGTATGTAACCCGAGGTACCACTGTAACACATTAATTAGGAACAGCCAGAACAGTCACAGCAAAGAGATACAATTTATATAATGCCTTAGTAGACCATTGTTTAGGAACATAGGAAGGTGCATTATATTGAGCCAGACCATTAATATTGCCCCCACTAACTGGCAGCAGCTCTCTAGGATTTCAGGCAGGGTTCTCTCCTCGCCTACTTGCCGATGTCAGGGATTGAACCTGGGACCTTCTGCATGCAAAGCAGATGCTCTGCCAATGAGCTACTACAGTCCTTAGAGGCGACCATCTTCTCACCCATGAATTGGTCCACCTTCCTGGTTGTTTCCAAAGTAACACTTGGAAGTGAGCTGAAAAATCATGAGCCGAAAAAGAGGACATCTGGAGCACTGCTATAGAAGTGGATGTTGTTGGACACTGAGGATGGACTGGCAGAAATGGGGAGCATGCCATCCCATTAAAAATGTTTCCACAGGCCCAAGTGTACCTCCAGCCATAATACTTGCTGTCATTTGCAGTCACTGCAACGCTTTCTGGATCATTCGGGAATTTCGTTCCAGGCCTTCCTTGTACTGGGCATCCTTCCTTTGAAAAAGAAAATCCATTCAGAAAAGCATTTATTACCCTACGGGAATGTCGACTTGTCTGGCTCAACTTGCACAGAAGAAAGCGAGTATGATGTTGAAGCCAATGTTTAGACTAATGAATTATAGGAGGTCAGGATACGTGAAGATGAAGCGGATAGATCATCCTCTGGCTGCTGAACCCTTTCAGATCTAATTCATTTTGGGAGAGTTTCACAGGATTGATATTTTAGTGGCTAGTTTTCCTTTGATGGGCCCTTAGTTCTGAGGCAGTAGCAAGATCAGTGCAGGTACAGACCCGCTCTCAAAGGCAGCCTAGATAGCATTATAGGGGCAAGGATACTGGGGGAAGGGGGGAGTGTGTGCAACAACAGAGAAATGGGAAAGTTGCTATTTTTGTTATTAATCCATTTATATCCCCCCCCTTTCCTTTCCTTTCCTTTCCTTTCCTTTCCTCAAGATGGCGTTCTTGGGTCTCCCTGTTTCTCTTTTGTCCTCATGACCACCATGTTAGGAAGGTTAGGCTGAGAGACAAAGGTCAGCCAGCGAGCCTCACAGCTGAGGGGATTTGAACCCTGGCCTCGTATCTCTGGGTCCAGCACTCTAAAAACTATGCCACAGTAGCTTCTCCATATTTCCAAGTTGACAATGGACTGAGCCAGTGTTCTACCCAATGGAATACACTCGTGCTAATCCAGTGGGAGAAACTGGTCAACCAGTGAAATGTGTGCATTTCTCAGGGCTGCAAAGTCTGAGCTTATCTGGCCCAGGCCTGCCGGCTCTTATCTCGGAATTGCTGCAACTGCTTGTTTCAGTCCCACTACCACACAGAGAGATTATTGATTTGAACCCAGATCCTACACTGACACTCTGACCACCATACCACATAGACTTGTCCATGGGAAGGGGTCGCGACAGAGGCGACAGAGGCCAAATCTGTCACAAACTTTTCCATGTATTGCCATGACCTCCTATGGTAAGGTTCCTCTATAATTATTTTGTCCAGCTCACCTTCCCAACCCTACCTGCGGTGTTCATTATCCTTTCCATTTTGCAGGTGGGAAGCTGAGACAGAGGGGTAGCAATTCACACAATGGATTCACCCAAGGGGTAGTCTTTGAATCCATGGCGCCATCGCACTGAATTTCAATGGAGCGGTTTCTGAAAGTCATTTTGCTGTGTAGCATTTGAAATTAACTGCCCGGCGTACTGTCAGTTTGTGTGTTATTTAAGTCAAAAGGAATAACTTACGGGTCATATTTTATGGAACCATTAATTCATACCATGGTTGACTTCCGCCACCCAAGCGGTGTATTAATGGAGCCATAAAACACACCCTGGAGTATCTCAACATGATGATGAGATTGATCTTCAGCTTTATATTTCACTGTTTCAAACATGACCAAACTTAATTACGGAAGAAGACAACACTACAACTTCTCCCAGGGAGAAAAGTATAAGGTTTGCACCTCTGATTAAAGTGCACCTAGACGGACACATTTTTTCTCTCTCCCTCCATTTCATTTCAGTTTTGTCCTTCATAGTCTTCCATAGTCTCAGCACGCTTTTCATACATTGATGCTATTCTTGAATTTGGCCAATTGTACCCATCCATCTTGCCTTAAAATAAATATGATGCAATATGACAAGCTGCAGAGGACTTGAATCCTGAGATAACGAACCAGACTCTGCAAAATGAAACCAGAAGAAGAAATTAGAGGGTTTTTTATTTTTGTTCCAGGCATTTAGATACCACCATCCTTCTCTAGTCCAGATGCACCACTCAGGGACAACGTTTTTTAAAATACAGTTTCATGAAACTATAGCATAAAACAGCTGATGCAAGAGAAAGGGTATAATATGGAACAAATTCAGCATGAATAGGATAGCATTGCTGTCTTTGAGCACAGGTTCCAGGTCAGACTGATGGAGTTTAATTGAAGTATGCATAAACTGTATGCCTTTGCCCCTATATATAGCAAACAAACAAGTGCATACATCCATGTTTGAAGTGTTGGGATGGAGCCCCATCACTTTCCAGCAACACTTTGGGGCAGAACTGGGTATTACAGCAGGTATCCAGGTGAAAAGGACACATTTTATTTTATTTTTTAAAAAGATATTTATTAAGATTTTCAGAGTATTACAAAACAAAAAGAAAAAGAAAAAAGAAAAATACAAAGTAAAAATAGTTAAAAACAATTCATTCCTTCCATTGCTTAGCCTTCATTTGCTTATTTCCAGGACCTCCTCACACCTCCCTTTTTTGTATTCCAGTTCAGTTATTAGTTCAACAAATCCATCCCCTCTTTATGTATCCTAATCATTAATCATAAAATATTGTAATTTTAGATTTTTACCTATTAATAAACAATTTTTTCATATTCCCTTATAACATTGATGGGCCCTTAGTTCTGAGGCAGCAGGCTAAAGACCACTTAGTTTCTATCCAACATCATTCTAACATTCATTAATTTTGCAATATTTCTGTAAATAGTCTTTAAACTTTTTCCAATCTTCTTCCATCGACTCTTCTCCCTGGTCTCGGATTCTGCCAGTCATTTCCGCCAATTCCATATAGTCCATCACCTTCATCTGCCATTCATCACCTTCTCTAACTTGTCCAATCCCAAAGGTAGTGATACTATGTCCTGTGTTCCTGGTTTTAAAGCTCTTGGCTCTTTTTCAGTTTCTTTTTGCAAATCTTCTTCGTGATCTTTCAGAAATTTTTCTTTGTCTTCCACTGATCTTATTTTAAACTTTTTCCATTTAAAAGTAAAGGATAGGCCTTGAGGGAATTCCCACCTAAAAATGGTTCTATTTGCTCTTAGCAGGGCCACCAAGTCTCCGTAGTTGGACCTGAGATCCAAAAGATGTTTAGGGATATCCTTGAATATCTCCACTCTTGATTCCTTTATTTCCAAGGTCTTCTGGAAGTGCAGGCTCAATATTCTGTCTCTCTCCTCTCTTGATCGGAGGGTAATCAAACAGTCTCTCACCCTGTTCTTTCTCCCCCCTCTTCCAAGTCTGAAAGCACTTACTATCTTGAAGTCTAACTTGTCTGGGTCTAAGTCCCAAAAGTCTGTAAATTCCTGCGTAAGAAAGTCACTCAAGTTGTCTTTCTCAAGTTCAGGTACAGCCCTGATCCTTAGATTTATCTGTTTTTCTTTTAATTCGATCATAGACAGCAATGACTTGTGATCCTCCAACTGCCTACATATCGGTGGTATCTTTTCTTCTATCTTTTCCTCCACAGCCAATGCTTTTTGCTTAGCTTCTTCAGCTGTTTTTCGATTCGAAGTAGATTCCTGCAGCAGTTTCTCAATAGATTCTGTATTTGAGTTCACCTTCTGCCCCAAGTTATTGATGCTTGTAGTGTTTTGATCAATTTTAGTTGTCGCTTCAGCCACTTGTTTGCTCAACTTTTCCAAAGATTCAAAAATTTTATCTAAAGCTGAGGCTAAGCCCCCTTCAGCTGCCATTCCTTTAGACGCCACCTGGGCTGAATCTTCCCCTGGTGGGGCAGGGAGGCCGGGTGCTGACGGTCTATGCTGCTGCAGTCTAATTTTACCAGATCTTGTTGTTTTTTCCTGAGCCAAGTCTGCCATAACACTTTATCTAAGGATCAAGGTCAGTCCCACGATTACTTGTTTGTGGTGGAAAATTCCCCTTTAGTATGGCCAGTTTAGAGTGGAAAATTCCCTGACCAATTGTAGCAATTTCCAAGTTCCTCTAGGGGGACACAATAGCAGTTCCAATTTGTAACAATAAGATAGCTATTCCAACTTTCAAAAATCCCCCCTTTAGCCAAAAATAGCAACAGTTTCAAGTCAAGTGAGACTTTTCAAAATCAAAGTATCCCTCTTACAGAGCTAGCTGTCAAAAAGTTGCATTATCCTTTGACAGCGTGTTTCCCAATACGGCAGTTTCAATGTCCCTTGATAGTCCGTTCCCAGGCATTAAGTGATGGTCTTAGTTCCCTTTTTCTCTTCTTTTGCGGGCAAAAGATACTTCCCCTTCTCCCTCCCCTCTCCCGCACCACAGGGAGGAGTTCTCTTTTGTTGATGTAGGATTTGAGTCTTTTTCAATGCAATTTTCAGGCTCTTTGCTTTGACAGTCTTTGCTTTGATCTATTTACATAAAAGGAAGGCGGACTTCCTGTTTACACCTTCCCACCTCAGTGCCGAATTCACCCTATATTTCCCTAAGTTCCCCAATCTTCAGACTTAACCTACTCACGGGTAGTTGTTTCTTAGCCGAATTGCCACAGGAAAAAGGTCGGCGCTCTCCGGCAACAGCTGCGCGGCTTCACTCCACGGAAAAAGCAGTTGACTCTCAGCACCGCGCCAGACTCCCGCTTCGCTCCAGAACTCTTTCCAGGGTTCCTCGCAGATTGGGGGCGCTAAGGGTGCCCGCCGAGTCCCACGGTCACAGGCTTCACCCGCCTGTGATTTTCGAAGGGGTCCCCGCTTCGCCGTAGCGGCAAGACCCGATTTCCACGGAACTACTCCCTCAAGACTAGAGGGAATCCGCCATTGCTGATGGCGCCGCCTCCGGAAGTCCGAAAAGGACACATTTTAAAAGCAAAACGTAAACACCAACTCTTGAAATTCTGCCAAATTCTGAATGTGCACAAAAATTAATTTTCATTCCACGGTGGACCCCCCCATTACAAGGTGCAAGGCT